TGTCATTTTGATCCAAAGAAGCTAGATCTGAATAAGCATATATATATGCTGTATAATTCCATTTATATAAAATTTGAAAACAGGTAGCAGCTATCTATAGTGTTACAACTGAAAAGAGTGTTTACTCCGGGGCAACAAGTGACTGGAATGGGCATGAGGCTTCTTCAAGAGGGCTGGTGACATTCTGTCCCTTGATCTAGGGCAACCTTAATTTCCAACATTTAATGAGCTACATACCTAAGAACTGTGCACTTTTCTATATATACTTTATACTTCCATACAATTTTAGAAATAGATTTTTTTAAGAGGAGGTAGAGACAAAGCAGTTAATGAACACCTTCTGTGTCAAACATTTTGCTCAGTGGCCTCATTTCATCCTTGGAATAATCCTATGTGTTTTTGTAGTTTGCCTAATCATAAAAATCCCTAATGACACTTGTTGAAATTAGAAAATTGCCAGATCTATTCCAGGTCTAATGTATTTATTATCTCCAGGGAAAGGTCCTGGGCATCAGCTGTTGAAATAGATGACTTTATGATCGGCCAACTTTGCATATATTGCCTGGTATGCATATTGAGGAGTAAGATTTAATGCAGTATCTAATACATAACAAACTTAACAAATGGTAGCTTTTTCTTATTTTTAGGTAAAGTTGCCTCCATTTTATAGATGAAGGATTGAGATGCAGAAGGGGGAAAATGACTTACCTAAGGTCACAGCTGGAAACACATTCTATGTGAGTTATCTCTCTTTATACCAGTAACTCCGCAGAGGAACAGATTCCATGTGTGCTCTTCTAACCCAGGAGCAAACTAGACTGCAAATCAGGGAAGTTAAGAAACTCATCCAGGGACATTTTGCCAGGAAGTGGTTGAGCCAGGTCAGTCTAACTCATGGAACTCTGATCAGTTCACTTGTCACTGTTCTGCCATAGGTTAGGAAAAGCAGAAAAAAGCAAATGCAGGGGCAAAGCAGGCAGACTTAATTATTTTTACATGGCATGTGCTTGGTCTTTAACGTACAGTCTCTTTTCCGCTCAGCAATTCCCCTCTGAGTAATCAGGGCAGGCTGCATACTTCCCAGTTCCATCTTTAAATAGAACATAGGGGCAGGAGGGTGTTAGGGGGACGCTGGGTTGATAGGATCTGTGCCCAGGATAGTTGTAATCTGTGCATTTACCCTCACAATCAATACCCCATTTGGACTGCTGTCATCACCAGCTGGGGGAAATCAGAAGCCAAAAGGTAGCCTCACCATAGCTTTGGGAAACTCCTCTAGTCTTTGAAGAAGGTAGCTACTGGGAAGTGCGTGTTTGAAACAGAGCTTCCTCTTGGCCAAATAACATCTCTGGGCATCAAGAGGGTGGCTGGAATCTACTTTGCAATGTCAAATGTCCTTAGCATTGGTTTATCATTATTATCAAAAAGCAAGAATATTTCTGTCTCAGGCTAGAGTGCAGAGGGTGATTTCTGTCACCTTTTGCTCCAAGAGCAGAACAATCTTTAAGCTTGTTATCAAATACTTTTCTAATTCACTGTCATTGGCTAAAAATCAGGACCATATTTTATTAGTGGGCAGGGCCTTCACACCTTAAAGAAAAGAAACACTGACCTACATTGTTTCACTTCCTGTGCTTACATGTCATGCATTTCCAGAAATCTATGCTTATCTACTTGAAAGGACCAGGACTTTCTGCTTGAGGAGGAGGCCTAGAAATCACCACTCTTGTATTTTGCTTTTTTTGGAGCTCTGGACACAGGGTGCGCAGAATTGGCCACCCTAACACTAGAGACTACATGACAGTGTTCTCTCTCTTGTCTGTCTTCCTTGCTTTTTCCTGTGACACTGGTGAATGTGATTTTGGCTTAGTTTTGGAAACATTGTAAAGGCAAGATCCTGACCTTGAATAAAGCTTCAATGGGCAAGAGGCAGAAACCCCCACTTAAGACTACTGTATAAGGTAAAGTCTCCAGTTCAGCTTTTATTAAGAAAGTCATAATGGGTTTTTTAGCTTGCTTAGTGCTTATGTGCATGACAATTCCCTGGCCAGAGAAAGGACCCTCTGCTATCTACCCATATTTACCATCATCACAGTCATCTCAGTTTCATCACTGTCACCATAATTATCTTTATTCTCAACATTAGATGGTCTTGACTGCCACTGACTGATATTCTACCATGGTGGCAGCTTGGTATAATGAGTGGTCCCCAGAGGCACAGACCTCTGTCATTCAGAGATGATTGACATGGCCCAGCCCCACCCCACCCTCCTCTTGGAGGAGCCTTCAGGATGCAGATCTAATCATGTTTACTTAGAGTTCTGGATGAAACAAGAGATGACAAAGAGCTCTCAGTGTTTATGCACTCCCTATTTCCCTGGGGGGGATCTGAATAGATGGAGGTGCTGAGCATTCAGCTAGGGAAGCAGAAAACCCACAACACTTGGTGATGGAAAAACCAACTGTGGCAATTTTTTTTACATTCTGGCTTTGATCAAATATTACAGTTTTGCTCCAAGCAATTTTGCTCCTAATCATTTAACTCGCATGTGGTGGCGAAAGGTACATTAATCGATCATGTTTTAGATTCATTGACATTCAGCCCAAACATTCTGGCCTTGTAAGAACAGTCCAATTTCCCAATGCCTGCAGGCAGTTGCTAAGCTGTTGCTCTGTGCTTCAGAGGGGAAGTTTCTTTTTGTGGAAGAGAGAGAAAGTCCTAAATCAAGAGGATGGAGAGCAGGGGGAAAAAGTGAAAGAGGAGGGAAGGGGGAAGACAACAAGGTGAAAAGAGCTAAAAACCCTTTTTGGCCCTTTCTCGGCATTCCCATTCCAACATGGGAGAGGGGGCATCTGGCTGAAGGATGAAGGGAGAAATGGAACCAGGCAATCTTCTGATTGAGAGACAGGATGGTAGGAAAAACAGAACACTGGCTTTGGAACACTGGCTTTGGAACGAAACAGACTGAGATCTGAGACCTGGCCACTAATCTCCTGTGTCACTTCGGACAAAGTTCCTCACGTCTCACTTTTCCTGGAGATAAAATGGGGATAAAATCCTGATTATTTGAAGGCTGCCCTATGGATTATAGGAAATGTACCTAATACAGGTGCTAGCACATTGCTTGACTTTCAGTAAAAGACAACTACTAGTACTCCTAAATTCCGGATATTGAACAGAAACAAGGATACAAAGGTAAATAGGACACACACTTGGCCCTCTACATGTCCAATATATAGTAACTGAGATGCAATGTCAGCTGGTTACTATAATAAGGCAGGACAATCATAAATCAATGTTTGATTACAACATCACAATTATTCCTGTCCTCCAAGTAGAAAGCAGGAGGTCATCTCAACTCTTCTCCATCTCTCTAACCCCCACATCTGACTGTTTACTGAGTCTTACCACATCCATTGCTAAAGTATTTCTCAAACCAAAACCTCTTATTTCTATGTGTGTTCTTACTGCTGTTGCCTTAGTTCTGGATCTAATTATCTCTATCCCAGGCTATCATGGTTATTCCTAACTTATCTCCTCTAATCTTTCTTCACTTTAATTTGTTTTCCAAACGAGTTATCTTTTTGAAATAGCTCAAATTATAACCAATGTTTGATTATCCTAAGTCATCTACTAAACAGGGTTTTATTGTTCCTCTTGGTAATCAGGATGGTCAACATTTGGGTTCTAAACATCCCCTTGTATCAGTTGTTCTTGAGTGGCAATAATTTTGCTCCCTAAGAGAGTTTCAATTGTTGTAACTTGGAAGGGGGGTACGCTACTGATATTTAGGGAGTAGAAGCCAAGGTAGCTGCTTGATATCCTGCAATGCACAGGACCACCACCCACAACACAGTCATCCAGCCCGTAAGGTCAACAGTGCCAAACTGAGAAAATGTTTACAACTGCGGTAATCAGAGCGAGGCTGGAAACAGAAAGCCTAAGCCCTCGCTCACTATTGCTAGTGAATAGACGGAGGCTGGGAAAAAGCAGGATGGATGACTGTAGGAAAAGCAGATAGGTTCAACAAAGAGTGTGCCCTTCTTTTATATAATTGGCTGCACAGTAGGAAATGAGAATGACTGGTACAGGAACTGGCTGTACTGGACAGCTGGGCCCAGAATAGCCTTCAGGAGAACACGGGCGCAACGCCAATGGGAGGTAGACAGGTTGAGGAAGGAGAAGGAGGCTGCGTTTTCTCTAGGGCACCTCCACATTTCTTTCTGTTAAGAAAGTACATGCGGTAAACAGGATAATCATCTCTCCCAGAGGTAGGAACAGACATTTGCAATAAGTAAATGCAAAAGTACATAAGCCCATTTCTTGAACTGCACATTTTTAGCATCAAGCTATAAGATCAAGTTAATTCAAGGAACAGAAATTCGACAGTAAAAATGATGATAATATTAACAATTATGATAGTGATTTAGATTAATATATCACCTTTAACCTGAAGAGTTTGATGAAATAAAGGAATCTGAATTAAGTTTCTATAGTGATATGAAAAATTGTGTGATAAAACTTTGAGTGATGCTATTTTCAGATAAAATAAAACTACCTAAAGTTCCAGATACAAGGAAGTGGGAAGTTTTTTTTTTTTCCCCAATAAGCCACCGAATGTGAGATAATTTGAAAGGAGAATTTAATGATAAGATTTATGCAATGAAGATACCGAGAAGGTCAAACACACACCTTTGCTGTATGTGAATGAGCAGAGCTGAATTTTTTAGGCTGCTGTGGTTGATTTGTACTTGCATTAGGACCTCTATGAGGTGACATGCATAATTAATCACTAATATTATTATTAATATCTCTTAATATAGAAGATGCATCATTGTGTATCTAAATTGCACCCTGCCTCAGATGTTACCTAATTAAAAAACTGAGACCAACAGTCACAGAGAAATATTAATGGCATGCAATTTAGTTTTAATCTAGTTCACAAAGAGATCTCAAAAATAATTGTATGTTTTGCCATGAGACATACCTGTTATGCAAAAACCATTTCAGGACCAATTTCTTTGCTTCTCAGATCAAATGAACGTCTATTCCATATTAACTTGATCTCAGGTTGTCAGTAAGACCATTAGAGAACATTCAGCTTTGGAGACTGAGAAGGAAAAGTAAAGACACAGTGTAAATTACAGGGTGAAATGCAGAATTTATTTTTAACCTCATGGAGGATTGGACTTTAATGAGACACCACTTTAGGTCTGAAATGGAAGGTTTGCAGCAATAAAAAAAAAAAAGAAAGAGAAAAGTTGAATGTGCTTACTAACCCAATCTTGTTTTTACAAGATGTTTTCTACATGACTATAGTTTACATTTGGATAACACTGAGCAGTTTCTATGTGGAGCACCTATATATGGGTTATTTCACTTGATAAGTTCACTGCAACCTAGCCATCAGGCAGGGCAGAAGTTGCCATCCCCATTTTACAGATTAGGGAACAAATCATTTAGAAAAGACACGTGATTTCCTTAAACTCAGACAGTAAAATCCCCTGTCCCTATAGCTATCTAAAATATGATTTTTTTTCCCCTAGGTAACTTTTATAGTCACTTCTAAACTTGCTAGGTTCTATTTTTAAATAATATGCTTAAAAAGCATTTTATATAAGCAAAGTATTATGTGGTTTATATATTATTTCTGAATCTGTGGTCTCACTTGATCCTCACTGCAGTCCTCCTAGAAAAGTACTGTTACCTCTAATTTAAAGAAAACGTTGAAGCTCAAAATCTTTAAGGGATTTGCCCATGATTACAGGGCTGAAACCCAAGTCCATGTGTTTTGGGCCCATATTCAATGTAAGGGTCTATTATTCTTAGTCTGAAAAGTAGCTGAATGTCAGTGGATACCAGATTCCTAGGACCATCTGACTTTCAATAAGACACTTGGAACTCCAGCGACTTTAAACAACCAGAGAGATGAATTTGTCACATAGACATTCCAGGTTCTGCCAGAAGAAGGACTTCATTTTGGTTAGGCTCCTTGTCCTTAAACCTTAGGATGAGGGCAACTACTGACTGCTTCGGATAGTCCTGTGGAAAAGCTGACTGATCTGATTCTACCATCCACATGGAGAGAAATACAAATAAAGCAAACATGCAAAAACAAACGTCCAGTAAACCTCTTTTTCTGAGAGATTGGAGCATAGGGGAGGCTATAAAGAAGTCATTTATCATTTTAAAGGTGGCTGTGTCCCTTTAAATGCAATCCGTAATGACTTATGATTCCAGCGACCCTTCTTGATTACTGCCTGTTGCCATTCATTATCACCATGGAAACACACTGTTGCCAGCTGTGTGCTTGGTGGTGGGGTGGAGGCGGAGCTGTGACTGGGGACAAGAGGCTAGTACATGTGGGACTCTGGATTTGCAGGAGGTTTTTTTTAACTTTTATTTTTTTAAGAGGAGAGAAATTGTGGGGACATGGCTCCTTCCATCCCACATCAAGCCCCTAGGTGGGGTGTAATCCAGAGGGGGACACCAGAGCAGATGGTCTCAGCGCCCCTGTGTCTCTCTGGGAAGAAGATGAGATGAGATCGGATGATAATCCACCAGGCGGCAGAAGGCAGGAGGAAGGGGCAGACTGCGTGCCAATGTCATTAACGCAATTTCTCACAGAGACTGCGAGCCAGTCTTCTCAGCTGCCTCGTTCCTAAGCCTTGAGCGTACTACATCTCTGAGAGTGATCTGCAGATCACTCTGTACGGGTGTACCTTCCGCCTCCTCCATACGGGACTCAGTCTTGATTTCATCCCCGTCCTCCTGCTAATTTGGTTGTCTGTCCCTCTCCTCACTGATTCTTGCATATGGCCATTAGCCTGTCACACCTGTCTGCTTCCTCCCACCTCCCCTTTCCTATCTAAAGAATGATCCTAGCAAGAGAGACGAGGAAGGGGAGGAGACAGAATCTACCCCAACCTCCTCCTGGTATGGGCAAGAACACTGACATCCAAAGTGGTTGCAGGAGCTCCATAAAGCCGCTCAGAGGTCTCTGGGCAGACTCGGTGTATGCAGGTCTCCAAATTCCCAGGCCGGGGCTTCTCTCACACACAGTGTTGCTCTTACATATTTTCTCCTTGCTTCTTGGGCTAACTCTCTGCCACACAGAAGTGTAGTCAAACCTCAGCTCTATAGGCCAATTATTATTTAGTGCAGACAGAGTAATCCTGGCTTTCACAGAATGCTTCTCTCTGTATAACTTGGTTTGCTCCAGGACATTAGAGGACTCTTTCTCAGGAGACACTCAAGAGGGAGGGGGCAGGGCCAGGATGGCTGAGTCATCTTTCTACTTTATTTAAAGTGAGCATGAAAGTCCCAGGACAGGGAAGGGCTCAAAATGGGTTCTAAAAAAGTGCTAGAAAAATCAGAACACCATCATCACTCGGCATTGCTGAATTCTGCTTGGGCTGCAGGCTCCTGGGGGAAGGAGAGATACCATCTCTGGGTTGCTGCAAAAATGTTGCACACAAACATTATTTGGTTAGCGAAGGGAAATTTTTTACATACAACATTACATTTGACTTCCAAGATATCTGGAGAATGCCCACCACAGATGTCCAGTGTTAAGACAGAGGCAGGCGAGTAAAGTAAAAAGTGGCACAGAACTTGGAGACTGTTGGTCTGGGCAGCTCTGCAGCTGAGCTCGCAATGAAGTTGTGATTAAACCCCGTCCCCTCCTCGTCTGCTGTATCTTTGTGATATCAGGTTGTGGGCCGTGGTTATCCCTAGAAGACCTTTACTAGCTTCAGCCTAATAGTAATAACAATAGCAGAGGCAGAAACTGTTACCTTTTATTTAGGCCTACTGTGTACCTAGGGATTTTGCAAGCATCACTATCCCATTGATGCTTATAACTTCTCACATAGGTAGGTGTTGTAATCCCAAGTTAGAAATTAGGAGATGAACTAAGAGAGATTAAGGAATTTGCCTCGAGTTATTACACGCTAAACAGCAGAGCTAGGATTTGTGCCCAGGTCTATAAAGGCCAACACTACTTTTCCAAGTGACCACATCTTTGAACTCTATGATTTTGCTATCCTGACTCCTTAGAAGTCACATATCCGTTTATACAATGGGTATTCAATGAGTGCCCCATATATGCCAAATTATTTCCTTGCAACATTTTTATTTCAAATTTATGCAAAGGAATGAATGCTTTTACTACCTCTTTTGAAGGTAATTCTCTCTCTTGATGGTATTTTTGACATTAATATAGATGTTACAGCTTTCGTTTGATTAGTATACCTTTCCCTGTCCTTTTATTTGTAACCTACTGTGTGTTTATACTTAAAGCATGTTTCTTGTAGATAGTATAGAGTTGGGTCTTGCTATTTTATCAATTTTTGACAATCTCTACCTCTCAAGTGGAATATTGAGATGATTTATATTTTGTATTATTAATAATACATCCTGGTTTAAATCTACAACTTGCTATTTGCTTAGTACTTATCCCATCTGTTCTTTGTGCCCTTTTTCCTCTTTTATGATTCCCTATGATTATTTTTCATGATTTTGTCTTATCTCTTTTGCTGGCTAATTATATGAGGCTTTTGCTGTGTTATTTTAATGGTTGTTTTAGGGTTTACACTATAACTTATACATAGTTTACCTTCAAATGACATTATGCCACTTCATGAACAGTACAAGTATAACCTTACAATAGTATGCTTTCATTTCTCTTTCTGGACCTTTGTTCTTTTTTTTTTCTCATATTTTACTTCTTCTTATATCATAAACCCAAAAATAGATAATTATTTTACTTAAAATGGTCAATGATTTTTTTTTTTAAATATGAAGACTTTTTTAGAGCAGTTATAGGTTCACAGCAAAGATGAGAGGAAGAAACTATAGGAAACCTTCTAAGGAGCTAGGGATATAGTCACAAACAGAAAAGACAAAAACCCCTCTCCTTCTGCAGTTCACAGTCTGTTTTATGTATGTCAGGGAGATTAATCAGATAAATATGCACGTGACATTATGGAGATCAATGCTCTGAAGCACACACATAGGATGGTGGGATAAAGGTAGTGCAGGTGGCTTCCCTGAACAGGTGACATCTAGGCTGAGACCTGAAACATGAGAATGAATCAGCCATTCAAAGAACTCGGGGAGAAGGATGTCAGGAAGGGAAGAACAAGGACAGAGTCCTGAGGAGGGAGAGAGCCGGGCGTGTTTGAGGAAGGGCAAGTAGAGTGGAGACAAGGGGAAAGAGGTCCGAGGGAGGGTAGAGGAGGACGGCGAGCGGTGATCTCATCGGGAGGGCACACAGCAGCCCGGTGAGCGGACCTTGGAGGTGTTGCCAAGTCATGGGGCTCCACTTCAAGAGGGAGGAATCATCAAAGAATTTAAACATATACAACCAAGATGCATATATGTGAATATATAATCTCCGGACTCTAAAGGTGAAATAATTTTAATTCCTCTTACAGTTACCCAACTCTACTCTGCAGAAGTCTCATGAACCACATCTTGTCTGGTTCCTTCACTTCTCAGCCACTTCCAGGTATTAGGACACTCTAGATATTATATTTAATTCTTAGTCCCAGCGACTTTAATAGTAACCTCAAGCTCTCTAAGATTTTCATCTTCTCACCTCCCTAGTCCAGACTAGACCTATCCAAGATTCTATGCAGAAGTCGGTGAAGCTTTTCTGTAAAGGGACAAATAGTAAATATTTTAGGCTCTGTAGGCCATATGTGTTCACTCACAACCATTCAACTCTGCAGTTACAGTGTGAAAGCAGCCACAGACAATACATAAACGAATGAGTGTGGCTCTCTTCCAATAATACTTTATTTATACACACTGAAATTTGAATTTCACATAGTTTTCAGATGTCGTGAAATTTTATTCTTATTTTTATTTTTTCTAACATGGCTTATAAGTCAAATGGAAACAGACAGGCTTTGGTCCACAGGCCATAGTTTTCAGATGCTCGCTTTGCTGATTTGGAGTTACAGGAGGTATATAGGATATGCAGCCCACTTTTAAAACAATTTACCACTATTCTATTTTTATAGTCTCCTGTCTGCTGGGCAGGGTCAAGGGAAACAGAAGTGGTCGATATGCCAGCCCATTGTCAGGTTGCTGTGTTCTTGCTTT